GTTATTTTAACATTCAGCTAACTTGAGCTATAAAAACTTATTTGTGCTTGCATTTTTCTAAAAAGTTTTCTGAAAAAGTATCAATTCAAACCAAAGCATGTTAAAATTGTCTGGAGAATTTTAGGCTGATATCTCTTCAGAGATATGGTGATCTTTGTACTCATCCACGTATTAAGCATTAATGCATTCAGTCTAAGACTCCCGTATATGCTGTGGAGATTTTGGGGGTAATGTCATTCCACTCTTCCTCACCTGTCCCTCTCCCTTAACTTGAAAGAGTCCTAGAAGCACAATCTTCCTCCAAATACCTATGGAAACTTGTAGTCTAACCTCCCAGTGAAAGCCGGGCTATTGTCAACACTAGATGAAGGCAAATGTAGCTTTCTGTAGTTGGACCTCAAAGTCTCCAAAGATGTAGTTTCCACAACCTCTCTGGATGAGCCCTGTAAGCAGGAGGTGGGTTTTCCTTCTATTTCTTTTGTGTTCCCAGCTCACTTGATGACTTGAATCTGATGCATAAGCAAAGAGCAAGGAATGGAAGCATGAGTTAGTATTAACTTCAAAATCTTACTGGGTCTTCATGTTAAGAAAATAGTAGATAACTTTTGCTGTGGAGCTAATCAAAAGCATTTACTGCTCGAGGCAGGATGAAAACAGAATAAATAAGATTCAAATAAAATTGCACCTTATTATCTCTCTCCATTTATCCCTTAACAGTCACCCCTTTACTTGGAGCTTCAGCAGATATCCATGCCTTCTAACTTTAGATGTCAAATGTTGTTTAGTAGGAGTCTAAATTTTCTTATTTTGTTAAGAGAAAGAGATGAGTTTCTGATTATAATACTGATTCTTGTCCCCTGCAAGCACGATTTGTTTTTTGAGGAACTTAGGCATTTAAGTTTCAAGCTTATGATAGTTGTCATCTCTGAACAACATGGACAAACCTTCAAAATCAAGTGTGTACCTTTGTGTCTTATTGGAAAAGCAACTTCATCTATTTGGCCCTGAAATGACTTGGACTTGAGTACTCTGGAAAGGATATATTAGGTCTACAGTTGTGCTAGGAGATGCATTTTCTTCTGTGTAAGCTGTGAAATTTAAAACATCACCAATGACCTCAGTTTCGATGGTAGAACTCTTTACTAAAACAGAAGCCTTTTTTTACTGTCTTGGCTGTAACTAACTAGTCATGAAACTAATAAGAGAAACAACAGAAAGCTACTGGTGACAAGTGTGAAATGAAGAGAACAGGAAGGGAGATTCTCTAAAGTGCTGCAGGATATATTATAGTTAGGAAACTAGTGGAAACTCAATAAATGAGGAGCAGAGGATGAGAAATGAGAGAGAATACTTGTAAGACAATTGGCAGTGCACTGTTGGATGCTGGAGAGCAAGAAATAGAACAAATTCAGATGCTAGGCTGCAGGAAAAATTGCCCACTTTAATTAACTCTCTCAAAACAACAACAACACATTCTTCCTCCCAGCTGTCTATAGCTTGTGTGCCTACTACTTATGGGGTAGAATTCTAGTGGAATTTCTCATTGTTCATACCTGGTTTGTCCCTGGAAGTAGTCAGGTGAACTGGTTCACATGCATGTCCAGCCTGCAGGTGGGCACCTGCTCCAGTGGGAGAGCTGGACTATACGGAGTCTGTTATTTGCTAAGGAAGTGGCAATCACTGCTTACCTGGAGGACAATCTCCTTTAGAAAGTACTTAGTTACTTAAAATTTTGGGAGTGAGTTCTGACTTTCTTTTAATTGTTTTAAACTCATAAACAACTCCTCAGAAGAGCTCTGCCTGTAAGTCAAGCTGGCAAACATCAAGTAGAGGGATAAGCTGTCTGATAGTTACATATTTTTCATTTGTCACTTTCTCAGGCAACTGCCTGAAAGCTTAATGAATGCTTTGTTTTTCCACAGATAATTAAGAAATGTTGAGGAGTTGGTAATTTGTTTTCTTATTTTTATTAGTGTTGAAGGTAGTCCTTTTAAAACATGTTTGCCTAGTTGTGAACTGTAGCTCTTGTTTGTCAAATCTTATGACTGTTAATGACTTCTGAATTCTGAAACCAGATTAAATATTTAAAGCCATTTCTATGAAATACCACAGTAAACTTAAGAAACATAGCATGAAGGTTAGTAAGCCACATAACAATTGGTACCTCATGTGTTAATATCATCTCTTAAATAGCAATGTTTTTAGAATGTGATCTGTACTGTGATTATAGAAATATTGCAATATTTATGTTGTGGTGTTATATACTGTTCTTGAGACAATCAAGTTTGCATTGGATTCTACAGCAGAGTACAACTAATTTATTTAAAATATTCAGTAGACCATAAGCTGAATTATTTCAAGAGTAATTTGTTATCTTGTGGAATACATCTATGTACAAATGTGAAGTAGGACAGTGATTAGTGCATCTGGAGTTACTTGAGAACTGGAGGGAAAACAGAATTTGTGCAAGTTTTGGCCATGGAAAATCCATTTCCTTATACCTGATATATTAAGTAGTTCTTGTTTTATCTGTTAATTGTGACATAAGCCTGTTGGTGCAGCAAGAGTTGAAAGCCCTTTGCTGTAAGATTAATATTTTTAGTGGCTTGTTTGATAAGCTGAAGCCCATGTTCTGTGTTTTGATAACTTACTAGTAGAAGAAATTACTTGACATTTTATTTGGAAAGCTGTTCTCAAGGTTTAATTGTTTTGGAGAGATTGGCCAAGAAAAGCTGATAACTGCATTGTACAATCTTTTCTATAAACAACAGAAAAAAAAAAACTCTGTTCTCAGAGAATGGATCCTCTGTTCTCAAAATTAAAATTTTCAAATTCTTGTTAATGAAGCTCTTCAGCTTATTTGTGCTTATACTAGAACAGCATGGAAAAACTCTCCATAAAAATTGAAAGAATGGCATTTACTTGTACACTGTGCACAGTCTAAAAATGAATAACTGCTATTGCTGTGGAAAATTCCAAAGTCTTGTTAAGTTTTTGACAGTCACAACAATACTTTTTGTAAAATGCATTAAAGCAGAGCTGGGAAAGCCATTAAGCCTGCATGAAGCTGGTGCAATGACACTTTGATCTATCTAGTACCCAAACAACACTGACCAAAATGCAAATAAGGAATATGGGAACTAAACCCCCAAGCTGCCAGTCAATCAGATTGCTGGTTGGGAGTAATTCACTAGTTTAACCAGACACAGGCATATAAATAAGAGATTTATACCTATGTCATCTGCACTGTACTGAACAAGATCTGGCTTGTTTCACTCTTTAAGTATGTTATTAGTCAATACCGATGAGCTCGGCAGCATGACTTTAAGTTGGAGCTTTTCTGTTTCCATCTGACCTATTCTAGTTTTATTAAACTGAGCTTAATTGCGTTTAGTTTTCCCTGACTCCTCGGTAATTTTCGCTGGGACTCCATGCTCAGTTAAATAATGAAAATAACAACAAAAAATGAACAAAGTGGGAGGGATGATATATATATATATATATATATATATATATATATATATATATTGCTGGCAAATGCCTTCAACAGTCAAAGAGCATATTCAAGCTCAAAACCTTCAGAGAGCCAGCAATTGAGTTAATATTCAGTTTGCATGTTTTCTCTACAAAGCTCTGTGTAACAGACAGCATTTCTTGAATAAAATCCAGTTACAGAAATGGTTTTCTTGTGAGAGCTTCAAGACTGTAGAATTAGTTCTTACACAGCTTCTGATTTTCAAATGTAGTGTAATTATTCCTAATTTTTGATGAATAAAAAGATACAGGAAATGCACAGAATACTGTGATTTTCAAGGCCAAAATGGATAAGCAAACCAACCAAACAAAACATACTTGCACTATCTGTCACGGAAGGCAGAACAATGTGGAAGAAATGTATGTTAATGGAGTTTCAGGATAGGTGTAAGGATTATTCAGACACCAAAGGACTTGATAACAGACTGACATAAACAGAAGCATCTGTCTTTCTGAAGTGCTGACTGATTAAGAAAATTACTGCATTTGTTTAACTAAGCTTTATTCTAACACTGGGTTAGTGGAGAGGATTAGAGGCTTTGTGTCTTTTTGAGTGAAAATTTTTAATTTCATCTTTCTTAAGAAAGGCGCTTAAACAAACGTTTTCATTTACACATTGCACTTGAATATGATCGGAAGGACTGGAAGATGAAATGTGTAAGTCTGAAGACGAACTCCTGTTCTGCTGCTTCCACTGTGTTTGGGAGCAAATCAAATACAGGTGCTTGGCAACTCTCCTGAAAGAAAATGAAGTCACCAGATCCTTGTAAGCTTTACATTGCCACAAAAAAAAAAAAAAAAAAAAAAAAAAAAGTTTAAGTTTTTCAACTTTTTAGAAGCAAATGTAATACTGGAAGTTTTGAGAGGTTACGACAACTGCAATTTTGTATGGACCGTTTTGGGTCTGAACTGAGCAACTGAGCAAAGTTCTGAGGGTAGAAGATACGGTCTATGCCTAAAATCTAATTGCTGGGACTGTATTGTACACCAGTTTACAAAAGTTACATGTCACGTGCTACTTCATGGTCGTGAACCCAGCAGTTTACCAGTGCAGTTTACTTTGGAACACTTATTTTTGGGGAAATAGGTGGTTTGTTCACACACATTGCAGCACAGCATGCAGGAGAGAATTCCCCAGCTGCTGCTGACAGAGAGCAAACAGAAGAGGGGGTCCTGCAGAGAAATTGCTACCAGTGCTTCCAAAATCAAATACCTAGGGAAAACTCTTTGAGCCCTCTGACTAATATCATTTCATGTGTTTCTCGTGATTATGAGACAAGTGTAGTGGAAATGCTAAATCATGGCCTGGAGCAGTGATGGAGCACCTGGTGGGAAGGCAGGGCCAACCCATGGGAACTCAGCTGCACGCAATGCAGCTGAGTGAGTAGAAGGACTGGAGCCAGGATCCACCCCTTACAGACCTCATTTAAGGGTTGGCAGGGTAGGTGAGGGTTTTTTGCTGGAGATCCGTGCCTACTTGAGGCCTTCCAAAGGTAAGCAGTTTTTTTTATTGATTTCTTTTGGTCTTGTTCTCATTTGCTGCAGCCAAAGACTTTGCTACCTTGCTGTTATCATCCCATTATAGCATTACAACAAGGTAGCAGGTTCTTTGTGACCATGTCTTCATCTATACAACAACTGTGTCTGAATAGTTGCAGAACAGTGCAGAGTGGCATGTCAGTGGTGGAGTGCTGGAGCACTGGATTATAGCCAGAGGCTTGTATTTCAGGAGTGTCATCAAGATTGATTTTGCTTCTTTTCTGCTTGCACTTGAATGTTTCCCACAAACCGGTACAGTTCCTAAAGTGAGAAAGCTTTGTCTTCAAAGACTGGATTGAGCAAATTCACTTGTCTTGAGAAATACCTTCACCTACATTTTACAGAGTTTTCAGATGGTGGCTTTCTTTTTCTTTATGATTTTTAAGTGAATAGATATTCATAGAGAAACAGTTTAAATTCCAACAAGTGCATCCCAAGAATAGAATATTCTTTTGTTCTTTTGGGGTTTTACTTGCAAGCAGATAAATTAGAATCCAATGGCAACTAAGCCTGAGGGGATCATTCTTAGGCCAGTGTTTAAGAGAAGCAGAATGTTGCTTTGTTCTGGAAGGCCGTTAGAGTTCTTAGCATTTCCTCTCATTCATTGCTCTCCTTTTATAATTGCTATTTTGATTTGACAACAGTATTTTCTGTGGATCAGTTTAACAGGCAAGAAGATCCAACTCATTACTGTCACCTCCTTAGCTGTTTAATGAACCAGTCCTTTCTTCCCGTAAATATAATGGATTATTCTGCAACAAAGTGAAGCACATCCACAAAGAGCGGTAGATAGAACAATTACTGATAATTTCATCAAAGAAACTTTTCAGCTCGCTTTGTCAGCCTAGTGACTAAAATTAGATACATTCGTTAGTTGATTTTAGAGATGTATTACTCATTAAGCTTTTATGTGTGTGCCTTAATAGGTATCAGATTCCCTAAAGAAAAACACACGTTTCAGGACAAGGCTTATTCTAGGGCGAGGAGCAATACTCAACCTTACTGGTCCTGAAGGAGTTCCAGAGGACAAGAAATTTCTTGGTTTCAACCAAATGTCCAGTTCCTTTAAGGGACCTGGAGTTTATTGAAATCAGGAAGGAGCTATTTTTTTCTTTCTGGACAACCCACATGAGGTAAGAATCATTTTTTGCCTAACTTCATGAGCTGGGTAAAATACCAGAGGTTCTGGATCCCGCATATAGTGCACAGCCGAGGACTTCTTTTCTCGCTTGTCCTGGCTTTTAAGGGAACCTACACCCAGGAGGGGAGTAAACTCTTCAAAAGGGCTGATAACAGCAGGACTAGGGGAAATGGTTTTAAGTTGAAGGAGGGAAGATTTAGGTTGGATGTTAGGGGGAAGTTCTTTATTAGGAGAGTGGTTAGGCCCTGGAACGGGCTGCCCAGGGAGGTTGTGGATGCCCCGTCCTTGGACGTGTTTAAGGCCAGGTAGGATGGGGTCCTGGGCAACCTGATCTGAATGTGTATGTTTGGTGGCCCTGCTAGGCAGGGGGGTTGGAACTACATGATCCTTGTGGTCCCTTCCAACCCGGGTGATTCTGTGATTCTGTGATTTATATGGCTGGTTGAGGCTAGAATGTACTGTTGCCTTAACTTTTCATTGCCTAAAATTCTGTTTTCCGTTTGGGCAAAAAGTTTACAATTTGGATCGTAGATGGAAAGCTGTTATTACACCTCGAAGTGAAATTCAGTGAAGCATACCATTAGAAACAGTCTCAGGAATGACTTAAAAGAAAGAAGTGAGGGACAAATTCTGTCAACAGTAACTGCTGCAAATGCATCAGTGTATGTTACATATATATTTTTTAAAGAGACTTACTTTGAAAAAGTGAAGGCGGGAGGGGAATGACTTCTGTATTTTTCGTACTACATTTCTGACATCTCTCTTTATGAATGTGGGATATACCATGTATATAACTGTATATAGTTAAGTGTTAGTGAGTTCATGTATGCATTTGGTACACGCACACTTTACTTATCTTGCTGTTTCTGGATGGCAAGATTCATCTGAAAGTTTGAGTGTGAGCATGAACGTTCTCAGAGCAGCCTTCTCTGAGGTACTTTCCACATTTCCAGTTCCAGCAATCATTTCATTTTTATGTAAATTAATTTTAAATAATTTTCTGTTTTTTAAAGTAGCAATAGGTTTTATAGGCCTGATTTCCTGGGAGGTTGACCCCCGGCTTTGTACTTTTCACTGTCTGGAACTCTTAAAGCATAAGAGTGTCTGCTACCCAAGCTATATGGCACTGAGTGTTGTCTTAGTTGTTGTAAAAACAGAGTAGAATATAAATTCCCAGTTAACAACTAAGAAATATGTAAGAAAAAAATCTTCGTATAGGTTCTTCCATAGCTTTACAGCATTTGGAAAAAAATAGTCTACCCACTTAGCTGGCTATCTTGATTTATAGTAATATTGATGATTGTTCCACACTGTGTTCTACCTGTGGTTAGAAGCTCTTGCTCTGTTTCAATTATAATTTAATAACCAGTTTGGTTGGCAATGGACTAAGAACTACTGTTTTCTGATAGTACATTGTTGTCTGTGGGGCACTGTGGTGTTGTTCTACATTTGCATACTGTGGCCCAGCTTAAGTGAATGCAGGATTTAGCTAATTATTCCAAGGGTAAAGATCTAATTTTACTTTATCCAGTGTACCGTAATTTAGAATTGACTACATGGGAGTTGGGTCTGTATGATTATAGAATAAACTGAAGCAAGAACACTTAGTACGTTTATATGTGTGTGTATGCATTTAATATATTACATGTATACATGTGTATATACATATCCTTCACGTACATGTATTAAAAAAGGTATTATACTATTATCATGGCAATCCTAAATCTTGTATGTCTTCCATTTTTAATATCGTCCTCAAAATTGACCTTCCACCTTTACTACCTGCTGATTGGTTGGATCTTTACTTGCAGAAATCTTGCATCCTTTCTGGAACTCTTAAATATCTCCACTCAAAGTTACACCGAGCACTGCACAGGGTATACTGTTATGGAGATTGGTTGGGGAGCAGAACTGCGGGGTGTTCTCTCATGCTAGCAAACTTCTAATGACTATCCGTAGTTACAAAGATGATCTTCTTTTATGTCTCCTCATTTTCTTTATGTGAGCCATTACTGCTATCTTCGTATCTCAGCCTTTTTCTACCTTTTGAAAAGGCCTCTTTAATTTTTCTGTTCTTTTTCCTTAATCTTATGTGTCATTCTGTACCTGAGCACTTCTGGCAATTCTTGTGCAAGCTTTCCCTGCCTGCAGAGTGTCTGTTTTGGCTCATCCTACTTCCACAGTGCAGCTGGGCATGCTAGATTGAATTTCTTTGCTTCATACTTGCCAGCTGCCAGACTTTAATCTCTTTCTAAAACTAAGAATTATCAAACTCAACTTTTTCTCTCATTACCGTAACAGAGGCCCATATGGCAGATTTACATAGGAAGACAAAACAAAGCAATTCTGCAATTATCCCCAAAGCAAAGGCTTCTATGTTGAATCAGCCGGTCCCGCTGTACAGATTTGGTGAAGCAGTCTCATGTGTTTTTCTGACAAAGTGGTTGACTAAGCTGGGCACTGACTGAGATGCTCAATTTTAATCTGATTTTCACCACTGACTGTCATTGTGTCCTAGGGACAGTTTTCTTTCAGCTTGGGCTTCAGAGCCTGCAGAATGAAGACTGTCTTTCCAAATCTTGCTGGCTTTTGTGCAGCTGTACTGCTGCAATAGGCTCTAAATCATAGGCATTACTGCATCTGAAACTTGAATCTGTCACTGGCATCATATTCATAATCTAGAAACGCTTTCTTTATTTTTGCTTCCACGTATTAGAGGACCTCAGAAATGTTTTCAGTTAAGCTTCTTAATTCTCATAGACTCATTTTTACAGCAAAATGCTAAGGGGCAAGAAAGTCTTCAAACTGCAGTTACTATGACTTGATCCTGTCCTTTAGAAGGGCATCATATTCTTGGTTTGAGGTAAGGCTGCAGGAAGCCAGCAGGTTCTTCTGAGTCTGAATAATGAGAGCTGACAGACACTGTTAGAAATGGATATGTTGTTACTCTAGGCTGTGTTGAGGTAGCAAAGGTGACATGAGTATAGAATGGTTGAATTCCAATTCAGATTTTAGGGAAATATGTTAATTATAGAACCGTATGACTCTGTCACTTCTGCTTCTTTAACTGTACTCACAACTTGTTCCGAGGATGGCCTCTGTGCCAGAGGGAGGCCGTAAGACATAACTGATTCGACACTTAGTATTACCTTAATGTCCAAAAGAGTGCTTCTGACCAACTGCTCTAGATAGATTATTCAATACTTTGATGTGATTGGTTAGCATAAGGAGTATGATTTTCCCAAGGGTATGTTTTGGTGTCACTGTGAATCAGAGCTTGACAAGAATCATACAGATGTTGCTAATGGAAGAGCTAGTAGAAAAAGATGTCATAGTGCAGTGTGTATTATGTCATTTATATCAAACATTTGTGAACAGATAGGTAAAAAATTGAGTGAACTGAAAATGAAATACAGCAACAGATTGTCACTTCTCTTCAAATACTTTGTTTTCCTTCTTACTTTACTATGTCAGATGTCTTTTTGCTATTTCATCATTGAATTATATGCAAGTATTTCCCTTTCGGAGCCAGGAGTACAGGCCATTGATCCTTCAGCAAGGTTGTTTCCCAGTCTTTCAAGTCTGATTGAGGATTTGTTACTTCTGTTGATAATACGCAGCCCATAATAAGCAAGGTATTGACCGTTGTGACTCTGGAGGGTGAGGGCCTCAACGAGGCTGCTGCTTCCCTTTGTGCTTCTCCTTTGTATTTTCATCTTGGAAGCCACACTCAGTGGCTCAGTGCTCAGCTGCTCATTTAAGGTAAATAATGGGAAACAGAGTAACTGTAAATGACTGGGTAGGACTGGTGTTGAAATTGTGAGGTGATTTATATGGCTGTTATCCATCTCAGCGAGCTTCCATTGCTTCAGCAGTCAGTTGGATCCCCAAATGACTTGAATAGGGGTATGTGTTACATTAGTGGCAGAGTAGCTGTGTACCTGCTGTGAAATCATTTCCAGCCCTTGTTTCCCTCAGTCAGGCCACCCCATGGTTGCTCTAGCAGTTTTGCAATGCATGGTGACCTGTGCCAGAGCTGCTGAAGTCATGCCATGCTACATCAGTTAGAAACAACAGCTTGAGAACGGATACCTTGTCCTGTAAGATTAGTGTTATTAACAAAAGCATAGGGAGGAAAGAGAGAGCATCAGGGGCTGTGAAGCTTCTATCTCTGTTGTGTTGTTCAAGAGATAAGAACGAAGGGTTGGCCAGAATATCCCAATGTGCTGTGACATTTCAGGGAAAGCAGGCTGTGGCTGCAGAACACACAAGATGCTGGCAGACAGAGCTCTGGAACTATAGTGGGCTTTGTATGAACTTCTCAGGTGTGTTCAGACTACATGCTTGTTCAGCCTGAGGCACTGCCTCTGTGCTTTGTTCCTGAACAGCAGTGCAGTTTTGCACATCACTCCCTGCTTGTCTTCAAGTTCCCTCCTACTAGTTTGTTTCAAAGAGATTTTGGTACATGTTTACTTTCATTTGGAGAAACAAGCATAAGAGGCTACTACCCAGGTGTGGACCACATACTTTCATGTTGTCACTGGGCCAAATTGTCCCGAATCAGTGAGTGTAATAAGGGAATAGCATCAGTATGGTATGGTTCATTGGTAGGATGCTCTGGGGCTGTCAACAGTTCCTACAATGTCCTGTTCAGCTGCCTATGCTAAATTCAGAATGAAACTTCATATTTACTGTTGACAGCAAGCTCTCAGTTAATTCTACTATTCTGCTTCTTTTTCCTCACCTGCTCTGATTTAGTGTACTTTGTCTCTTTAATTCTGAGACAGTAATTTATTGATTTTTTTTTTTTTTTTTTTTTTTTCCTTGCTGAAGGGAAAAAAAAGGGAAAGCAGATTATGAAGGATTTTTAGAAATTTTCATATACTGTAACTGATTTTGATGCTTGTGGGGTCTTTTTGGTTGTGCTCTTAAGGGTAAAATTAAAAAATACCGTGTGTTAACAGTGTCACACTGCTTCACCTCAGTGCAGAT